ACATAAGGCCAAACTAATTCTATGGCCATCGCGTGCTGATAAATATTACAAACTGAATCCCATGCTTTGTGATGATCAGCACACTTTTTAAAATATCCTAATTGGTTTTCAGTTTTGTATCCTTGACTTTGTGCAAAACATCATAGATCAATGGTCCTAAATTTTATATTATGAAATTATAAGATCAGATTAATTTGAAACAGTTTGGAATTAACTATAACTTGCCAATTCAATTCCACAAAGGATTTCAACATATTCATCTCCTCATGAAGCGGACCAGGTATTAAAAGAATTTCTGGATAATCATTTTAAATTTTTGTGCATAACGGTAAGGAATTCTATCACAAACTACCGCAATCCATTTTCGTTCACTTTTATTAATCCCACTAATTTCTTTAATATGTTCTATGACTTTTTGAACATTTTTAATCAAGTTTAAATTGATTGGTATAGGATCTGGAACAAGAATATCGGGTACATTAATGTCTTTCTGATTGGATCTTTGGGTTATACTAATCATGTTAATTGAATTTGTAAGCTTTTCGGAAGTATTTATTTCAGACTGATAGGATTTAAAAATTAAAGGTTTGATTGTGTCTTTTTTTTCAAATACTGTTTAGTCAATTGTTTCTCAGGTTTCAGCAAGTGTGGGAAGTTTCATATTACATTGAGAACATTTATGTCTTGAATTTTTAATTTCATTTTTACCACATTCGTGACACCATTTCTGTTTACCTATTTTTATATTTTGATTAGTTACTAAATTATCGATGGCATTTATATTTTCATTTTTTTCTATACATGCTTCAGTCAAGATGACAGAAAGATAATCGTGAAGTTGTTGATCAATTAATGTTTGCATTTTAGGGGTGATATCAAATAGTTCTTCAGTTTGCAATGCATTAAGAGGGTTTTTATGTAACCAAGGGTCTTCAAAATTTTGTATTTGATTAATGGGATCATAATTCAATAAAACAAAACTTGTAACAGTATGGTAAATAACTGTATTATATCCGCGATTTAAATAATTTTTTTGACCCTTTTGTTCATTGTCAAATGCCATAAATACTAAACCCGTTAGAAATAATTGTGGTTCATTAGCTAAATTTTCTTGCCATTTAATAAATTTAGTGTAACCTCTAGCATTAATAAAATAGTTATCAATATCAATGATTAATTTAGATTTTGCAATAGAATACTTGATTGCTGATGCTGCTAAATTGATAGCAGATACATATTTTAGATGTCTAATGCCATAAATAACATCAACTGCTACAGCATATTTAAATAACTTTTCACCCTCATATTGATTTTCGTTTTTGTTATATGTAAGAACTTCTATGAATTTCACAATAACCGGATTTTGTTTAATAAGCCATTGGGAAGGAGAATACTTTAAGAGACTATTTAATTGAAATATTTTATGATCATTTATTAAACTTATTATATCATCATATAAATTTTCTCATTCTTTTTTGGCAATATCTATTATTGCTTCGATACGATCTTCTTGATTAGCAAATCGGCTATCTAACTTTATTTTTAGTATTTCATTTTCAGATAGTAATTGCCTATTAAGATGCTTTAATTCATTAATTTCAGATAATAATTGCTTATTAAAACGCGTTAATTCATTAATTTTATTTTCATATTCTGGATCTGGTAAAGATACTTGAACTTCAAAATCACAATAAGATTGCAATTCATCATTAACATTATTGGAAAGTTTCAACCTTTTTCTTTTACTTTCTTCATCTAAAAAAATTAAGTTATTAACTTGTTTCAATTGATTAATAAAAGAATCTCTAGCAACAACATTATTATAATGTTTTTCACATAAAGAGTAATTTTCT